ATTTAGTTGTACCTAGTTGTATATTAATAACTCGTCCAAACATGACCCGCCTAGATTAGCTCAGCTATCCGCGGGCATGTTACAATTGTAATTTTAATTGATAACAAATAAAATGTATGTATGTATGTATGCTATTAATGGCATTCTGGTAGAATATTTTGTATTACAACTACAGTTGAACCTCTACGAAGAGGCGACCTATTACGCGCTCATCGCCCCTTATTAAGCGGCCAGTTATCGAAGTCCCGAAATTATTGTTAGTAAAATGCTGTAAATAAATCCCCTCATTTTGGCGTTCTTTCTTAACCAACTCCCTTTTAAATCATAACAGCATTTGTTTGTTTATTTAGATCTTTTATACAGCATGTATTTCTTTACTTATTATTTTTCATAGGATATAGGATGGCGCTAGTATTCATCATCACCGTCTTGTCACTAACTGGCACCCTGGTTGACTCGGCGAGCAACATAACCAGCTGTGATGCACCACTAAGTAACACCACGTGTGTACAGGGCTCTTGCCAGCAACCACCTTGCACTATGCGCTGTGGTCTAACAACCCAATATGACACATGTCAGCAGAGATGCGATGCATGCGACTCCATGAAATGCAATGCCTCGGATCGCTGCCTGCAGCGGTGTGACGATGGAAACTGCAAGGCCATGACCTGTGATGCCAAGAATTGCGACCAATCTTGCAACCGTGGTAATTGCACCTCGATTACGTGCAGTGAGAATGCCAAGAACACTAGCACCTGCGAACAATCATCAACGACAGCAGAAATGATCTGCGGGACGGATACCTGCTACCAGAATTGCCAGAAGGGAAACTGCTTCATGTTCTGCTTGTCGAGTGTTAAACAATGCACACAGGACTGCAACGGTGGAAACTGCAGCTTCATGTGTAAAGCCCAACAATGTACGTTGCATTGTGACGGGGGTTCTTGCACCGAAATCAAGCCATCTACCACTAAGATGCCCGCCACCACTAAGAGCAATGGCGGCGTTCTTCAGATGAAAGCCTCACTTGGCTTGGGTTTAGTTTTTGCAGTGGTTTCTTTCGTGTGAAAAGATTTGAACAATCCGTTGGGACGGTAGAGAGATTCTAGGCTGCTTATGTTAGAAACATTTATGTCATTTGTTTTCTTTTCTTTTTTTTTTTTTTTTTTTTTCTATTTTGTTAACTTATTTGCTAGTCTCGCAAGGAAACGTTCCGATACTCACAATTGTCATTCATCTTCACGTAGAAGAGAATCGGAAGATATATCCCTTATTTTACTAGTGTGCAGTATTTCTGCGCAGTTTTCCTAGTCTTTTGTGTTTAAAATCACACCACGGTCGAATCAAAGAGCACAAAGAGTCGCAAAAATGATAGCAAAGAAAAATTGGTTGCTCCTGAAGTAAACATTATTATTCCCGTGGACAATCCAACCATTTATAAAAACAATACTAATAATGATTATAATGATAATGATAATGATAATGATAATGATAATGATAAT